AAAAGCACTCTGGGAAACTATTAAAAAATGTTTGATAATTACTGTATTTTTGGTTTATTTGTCAGTCAGCTAATTGATTACTCAGATCATTGTTTCAACACAGAAGGATTTTGTTTGAATTAAATCCATCAGTAAAGTCAGCTTTAATTGATTATACAAATTATCAACCTCAAACACACATTTCTCTATTCAGCCTAACAGCACTGTTTAGTTTAGATACCGGCTTCAAAATATATATGGTACAACTGTTCCTTCTGTTGTGGCTTTGATAAAGTGCCAAGAAGAGTGTAACTGCAACAAGGGAACTGTGGCAAACATCTGTTGTGAGCATCAGTTCCCATACTCTCCTATTCCCCCCTTTTCTTTTCTCTACTCTCTCTCTCTCTGTCTCGCCTTCTGTCCACTCCATCTGTGTACCCAGCATGCATTGGCTTGGGCAGCAGCGCAAGTCGTTGCCATTGCCGTTTAGCCAGAGCTAACTGACTGATCTGGGCAGAGATGGGATGTGAGCGGCGCTGCGACGTGAACTAGGTCGCGGTAACAGCATGTTCCTGAATGTTGATTTACAAGTTGTAAATCTGTGCTTGGATGCAAACACCACAAGGTGGGGTAGTGTAATTTGTCATGGCAATTCCAAGTGTTTGAGTTGGCAGTTAAATAAATATGTTAATGCTTGATAATGCATCTTGTTTTGTCACGTGTACAACAGGAGGACATGTTTAAACAGTGAACAGTGAATAATGCTGTAGCATGCAAGCTACAATACCATAAAACTTAGCCTGTGTATTATTTATTGTCATGTTTAACAGACCTGCAAGCTTTTTTTTAATAAGAGAACTTTTCATATTAAATAGAGAGGACAACCAGGGACGCTGTCGAGGGGAAGGGAGGGGTGTCCAGATGCGGTGGGGGGGGCTTCTTATGCTGAGTTTTTCAACACAGACTCTGCTGCATCCACCTCTCTGCTTTCATCCCTCCCTCCCACTCGCCTCCCCACGCTCTGGCATCCAGCTCTTGGATGAAGTCATCGGAGCGGTTTCTGGGTCTGACCCCCCCTCGGGCTTGTTCCAGGCTCCTCACGAAAACACACGACCCCTTTTATAGGGAGGAAAAATAGCAGATAGAAAAATGGTCGAAATTGTTGTTTTTGAAAGTGAATTATAATTATTTTTTAGCAAAGCTGCATGTGTGATGGTGATATTATTACCATTAAAGTGTGACTGTCTCTTGCTCACACCTTGAATGAAATGTTCTGGTATGGTTTTCCTTTCTCTTTCAGTGTCTGCATTTTGCTTTTGATTGGGCTGGCATGTAGTGGTTGTTGGAAGTTGGAAATAAGTTGCTGGAAAAATCTAATTTCAAAATGAACTCCTCATCAACGAGTCGACATTAAGTATTATAATGACATGTGGCTACTCTGTATTGGGCTTGAGGTTCAATGAAAGATGGCCCAGAGTGGTGGGATCATGGGATTTCTCCTTAATGTAGCTGACATACAGGAAATCCTGAAAAAATTGTGGGCTTTTGCCTGTTTGTCAATTCAGAAAGTTACACAAATCGAGTATATGATTGTCATGGACCTCCATTTTTCAGTCCATTTAGATCCTATGGAGATGCTTTCAGAGACAAATAATCCCACTGGAATTGTGTACAAGGCAGCCATGTACATAATGTCTGTTAAGTGTGCATTACAATTCATCTGACAGCGTGATTCTTTGCAGCAGGAGTGGCATTGTAATCCCATCCCCAGTTAGTGCCTCCTGCCCCACGCTCATGCATAAGTCAATGTGTGTTTAACATTCAAATCATGCCTTGAGGACGTGACGTGTCGCACTGTAGGAGACAGTTGTTTTTATTTCTGTTGCAGTGCAGTATTCACTTTGAGTTACCGTGTGATTTTTATTCATTTATGCACGTCAGACCGAGGCCAAGGCTTCAGCTGCAGTTTGCGCGTGTGAATGAAGAGGGACAATAACGAAGCGCCGTTGCCGCTGCCGTCTCTGCTGTATGTCAGAAGATGAGCAGAACAGGGTCAAAAGGCAGAGTGGGGATCCAGGATCTTGCAAGCCAAATATCTTTGTGCACTCTGTGTATGTGTGTCTCTGAGTGGGTGGATAGATGGAGTGGTGAGGGTGAGTGACAAGCAAATGTCTAAATGACCGCTTGTTGCATGTGAACCCTCTGATTCCAACATTTGCATGCAAACCATTTTACATGGTTAAAACATGCACCAGCGAGCACACACAAGCACACTCACACACCTCTGGCTCTCCTGCTGCCTTAGCTGTAATATTAATGTAGAGGCAGGGACGGCGAGGCCTGAGTGACAGGAAGATGTAGAGTGTTTATTAAACAATGGCAAGCGTCTTGTGTGACAGATTGGCACAGATCTGACTGTTGTACATCATGTCTGTCTTTATGCAATGTTGTCTAATACTAAGAGGAGCGTAATCCTGTAAAACAAAAAGCAATACACTGTACCAGGGTAAAGTAGAGTAGTAGTAGTAAAGTTTTCCAAAATCTATTAGCAGTTAAAAGAACATTTGCATCGAGGTTTCTACATGTGTTACCCGGTTTGAATTTTCACCAGTCAAGTCTTTTCAATGTAAGGTCTTTATAAGCTTCTGCTGGGGTGGTATTATATTTGTTCCAAAATCCCCAGCTTAATTCCTAAATCCCTCTGTTACAGTGACTCTGGCGTTGTGTGCACAGTCTGACAAGTATGGCAAATGGAGGAACATTAGAATTTGAAAGTCAAACATTGTTTTGTTTGAGACAAACAGAACTCTGCGATTTACTTTCCTGTCAGGATTAGATCGGCAAACTCTGAGTACACACCTTTGCCCCTGACTCTCTGTTTGAGGTTGACTTTATGGGGATGAGTGATCTGCTGAGAGTCAGAGTCTCTTGAGAGCCGGGCTAGAAGATGAAATGAGAGGAGTGGATGAGGTTGGGGAGAGAAGCCAGGGGATCACATCTACTCGCGTATACATATAGTAGGCTGTTGCCCTCGACATGGAGTGTGTGTGTGTGTGTGTGTGTGTGTGTGTGTGTGTGTGTGTGTGTGTGTGTGTGTATAGTGGCTCTGAACACATTCTCCTAAGTTTGTGCAGCTACTTTTAAGTTTCAAAAAGAGGTTATTACCCCAACAGTGATATCTATAGCAATTAAGAATGATATGAAGTCTGACTTTTATAAATGACTTATGTTTTCTGATTTTGACATCCAGGAAAATAATTTCTGTATTATATCACCTCAAAATAAAAACCAGGAAAGACCATGTGACGTCATCATGAATGACGCCCATATTTGAAATAACTGTAAAATGTGACTTTATACCAGCACAACCCCGACTGATAAAATCAAAATGGGCTTAAAAAAATTATTATTTTTTCCAACTCTCAGCTTAGATTTAATAATTCATCTTTACAGTCAGTCTTAGATCCCTGTGAGGGCTCGCTCTTGCCTCCGCTCCTTCCCATTTTAATTTCCTTTTTTACATCAAGCTGACTAATGTTCCTATGACCTTACCAAAAGAGAAAAAAAGTTCTCCATCATCTGCGCAATTGGTTTTCTGAGCCACTGTCATCAGCTTTTTCCTGTCATCTTGTGCAAACAGCAGAATACTCCGCTCCCTCTCTGATCTCTTCCTACTCTAATTACACAACTGTGATTAAACAAGATTTTAGTGCCGACGAGACACATGCCTGCACAGTTTCCACGGGCCCTCTGTAAGATATTCAAGAACTTTTCTCAATATGCTGATATTAACAAGACTCTTTTCATAGACTAAAATATGTATTCCTACCCTTCGCTATGGTTGGCTCTGAGATTAGATTTGGATGGAAATGGACACTTCCTCACCTTACATCTGTTTTCATGCATTAATAAACAGGGATCCTCTGCAGAGGGGATCAGGTTTCAGCCACAGTGACATGAGCTGAGACATGCAGCCAGGTACACCCTCTGAGTCATATGTTGAACATCGCCTTGGTTAAATTAAATGATAAATGTATGCCAATGATTACATCTTCATGAATGACTCATGGTTGAAGTGTAATGTAACATTCTGCAGCATTATAGCGAATCACTTTTTTTCACTAAGGCTATGAGCTGCTATTGAGTGTCAGCTCAACAAGCACAGTGTTTTTGTAAGGCAAAGGTTGTAGGTGCTTTGGATTAACTGCTGTTACAAAAAGAACCCTTCCCCCTTCCACACACATACACAGATGCACACCCACCACACTCCCTCAGTGTTTTACTTTTGCAAAGAGGCAAATCCAGATTACATAGCTCCTCTAAGTGAAGGAGATCACAGGAGCTTTGGGAAAGTGGGGGAAGCTTCTGTATTGTGCTGACAGTAAGATGCATATAGTGAGAATTCATGTAGTAACATAAAATAATTTTTGAGATTCTGACTTTCTTTACAAGTGTTGCATTTAACACAGACAATTTTGATACTTCAGTGGATCATTGCTTGACTGAGAGGACAAATAGGACAACAATTGCAGGTGGATTTCATTATGCATTCTGAAATTTTCATGCAATCCATGCATTATTTTCAATGTCCTCAAGTTAAATAGATACAGCAGTTAGAGTGATCTCAAATCAAGAAGACTGGGGCAGGGACAGTGAACGCCGTAAAGGCATCAAGGACATTTCAGATTGAGTTGGGCAGCAGTTGCGTGGTGGCTCTGCTGCAAGCATGGGGCCTGGAGGATTAGTGTCCAATCACAGTGGATTTGATGTTTGCTGACAGCACATGGGACTTAGCAGAGAGAACTGTATTTCATTTGTATTCATTGAAGCTGTGTGCCTTACCTTGCCTGGCCTCCCCTCCCTGCACTGTGAATCTGGCAAACTAAAACCTGAAACCTGTTGACGACAGTACATCATCAGCAGCTTCAGGTAGGTGACTCTTCAGAAATAGGGCGAGGGGTGTGGGGGTGGACTTGTGGACTCATTGGCATCGTCATCACCATCATCATCACCATCATCATCACCAGATATGCTTGTATCTGGCTCACATGACGTCATAGTGGGAAGTGGAATTAAACAGGCTTTATTTAGATGTAATCCCTCATAGCAATCGGCAGAGCAAGTAAAATGTCCCAGAGAAGAGGGAGAGAGAGATAAACCCTATTGGATTAGTAGAAGTCCCTGCCCATCCCAACCTATCCCCTCCCTTCATTTTTTTTATCAACGTTTCGTGGCCATCTCAAGCATCCAACCTTTTACCGTGGCTTCCATGGAGTAGGTGTGCTAACTCTAGAATGTACTGCGTGATGTGGTTTGGTGTGATGTGTTTGTGTGTGGTGTCCTCTTTCCTCGCGCACAACAAGCCAGCATGACCAGAGATTAATTATTCAAGGACCAACAGCCAAAGGGGGAGTCACCTGATAGTACGGACCTACAATATTACTACCTGATATCAGGTGAAACAGTAGACCCTGCTTCATCTTCTTTTCTGCTTGTTCTTCTTGTTCTCCTTCTCCATCTCTTCATCCCACAGCTACAGTACATGAAGATTTGAAAGAGAACTTTCAAAAACAGCTACAAGTGGATTTTTGTTTTTTGTTTTCCCTCTGTTAACGTTTTCTCTGCTTTTTCCTTTTTTGCCAATGCTTGTCCCTAACAAACAGTTGAGTCTTGGTCGCTCCCACAGTTGGGACACATTAGGGGGGAATGAGGGTCAGTGGGACAGGGCTGACAGTGTCTACGAGCAGCAGGCAAGAGTAGCAGCCCGGCGGAGCTCTCTGTCATACGGAGAGGGAGGAGGGTGGTACGAGCCTCCACCAGGAGTGCAGCCACCTGACCTAGAATTGAAACGCGACCCGTATTCCTACCAAGACTCTCTCTACTCACAGGTTTACGCAGAGCGACACAACCCACGGGGGCTGAGGAAGGGCTCTGTGCCTGATCTAAACCACTACGAACGTGCACCCATGGCTCATCGAGGATCCATTCCACATCAGGAATACTATTCCCATGACCCGGCCATGACTCCCCGGCCACCTGAGGGCTTTTACCGGCCAGAACACCAGCCTCCTCATCCACTCAGTAGGTCAGGTTCTCACTTTGGGATGACACCTGGGGCTCGTGCTGTGTGGGATCAAGGTCAGGGAGGGAGAGCTGGACCTCAAGCCCCTTCATCGCCTCTACCTCCTCCTCCTCCTCCTCCAACCGCTCATGAGTTGAATCGGGCTTATAGGGAATCTGGTGCTGTTACTGCCAAAATGACAGATGGCCAACAGCGCATGCCCTCCCGAGACCCGTCTCCTGCTCATTATGGTATGGAGCATGGATCTCCTCGGTATGCCAGTGAGCCTCCACCTCTGACCTCTCAGTCAGTCTATACTGATGTTAATGGCCGCCCATTGGATCCGCAGCAGCAGGGTGCTACTTGTCTAGTAGTAGATCCTGCTAGTCAAAGTATGATTATGAGGCAAGAGACAGCCTCACCCTATGCCATCCAACAACAGCAGCAGTTACAACAGCAACAACAAATACAACAGCAACAAATACAACAGCAACAAATACAACAGCAACAAATACAACAGCAGCAGTTACAGCAACAGCAACTTCAGCAACAACAAATACAGCAGCAACAACTTCAACAGCAACAATTACAACAGCAACAGCTTCAACAGCAGCAGTTACAGCAACAGCAATTTCAGCAGGAACAGTTGCAGCAGCATCTGCAACAGTCCCTGCCACCTCCACCAACTATGGCCATCTCTGACCCTAACCTTACTATGGCGGCTCCACTCCCTGCTCCACCTGCACTAATGCAGAACGCAGCAGTTGCCCCTGCTGCACCAACCCCTGTGCAGGCTGCCCCATCTTCAGCCCCTCCTCCCCCAGCCTCTCCACTTCCTGCTCCTCCCCCGACTGTCCCAGGGACACCTTTGCCTTTGGAACCCAAGAGGATAGTTGATCCTGAGTTCCTTGCCTTGCTACGAAATGAAGGCCTCTCAGAGAGCACCATTTCCTCAGTTATCCAGCAGGGATTTGACTCCACTAGCATGCTGGCTGTTATGGAGGACAACGATGTGCGCACTGTTGCCCCCAACCTCGGCCAGGCTCGTGTACTGTCTCGCTTGGTCCACAATTGCAAGCGGCCCGTTGAGGCTCTGCCAGCGCCTTCCCAACCTCAGACACCCATGCGTGGCCGCTCTAATAGCTTTAGCCATCGCTCAGACATCTACCACCAGCAGCAGCACCACCACCCATCTCATCCTCCACAGCCTTTGACTGTGGACCCACACCTGATGCCCCCACAGACCCCTGGGGCCATGCAGACCATCTCCCCAAGAATGGGAGAAGTAATGGGTAGGAGGCCCAACAGTGCCCCCTCTCAGCATCTCCTGGAAGCCTCTGGGGGCTACCCAGGTCAATCACCTCGCTCCCCGGGGCCATACACTGGAGCCATTATGCCTGTTCAGTCAAGACCCATGTCTGCGTACTCTACTGGGATGACAATGCCAGGGATGCCCATGCAAGGTATGCAGATTATGCCACATCAGATGACTGGGTCAATGCCTGCCATACCAGGGTCAATTCACTCCATGCCAGGTATGCCACAGCAAATGCCCATGTCCCTGCCAGCCTTACCACAGCCACCGCAACAGGTACCGAAAGCATACTCTACCAATTACACAGTGCCCATGGAGCTGATGAAGAGGGACAGGAACTTAATGCCATTGTCACCAATGCACAGTCCTCACCCCAGTCCTCAGCTGATGCGTAAGGGTGGGGGACCTGCAGACAATGCCCTTGTCCCTATGGGTGCACCAGGCCAAGGCCAAGGTGCCCTGGTTGCTAACCAGAAGCTAAGTCGACGCACAGGTCCACCAGTCATCGTGTCCTCTATGGCATCTCCAGATACAAGTAAATCCTTTTTTCTCCTTCTGTCCTTAACATCTGCTGTTTGTCTGATATCTTGATACACTTGGCCTTGCTTTCTCTTGGCTTTTTCACATGTTTTTTAATGGATAAGAAAATTGATTTGTGCCAGAGCTCTTCATTTCTTGGCATGGTTTATGTAAGACACCATATCCCATTCCTCTCATTGCTTTGGATAGTGAGTGGTATTGCTTCATTATTAAGAATCATATTATGTTTTCACAATTTGGTTGACATTTGCCATTCAGTATATTGAAAGCAACTCAAGTATTAGGTTGCAGTTGAGGTTTTTTTTTTGTATTCTGGTTTGTGCAACCATCATTCAGCTGAGGGGTATATGAGATATATTTAGCTGAATGTGGCTACTGGTGTGTGGTGCATGATGCTTGACCTAAAGGAAGTCCAAACACAATGAGAATGTTAATAGAGCATTTTATGAAATCGTTTAATCTTTCTGGTCAGTGCTGTCATTTGTTTGCTTTCCTGTGTTTGCTCTCATTACATCAACAATAGATAAATGATGTGTCTTTTCTTCTTATCTAGGCCAGTGGAGTAAAATCTAAATGTTGCTGCCTATCTCTTTTCCAAAACTGTTGTCAGGATCATGATTAAAACCATAAAAGGAAAACTTTCTATCCCCGTCCTACTTTCAGCTATGTTCCTAAAATTATACTTGCATCCCACTTTCTTGTCTGCTTATCTCTGTGAGAGCCAGATTTGTGAGAATTCCATATACTTTGTACGGAGTCCTTTGTTATTTCAGTAATCCAGTGCAGTTCTTTTGTCAAAATGACATATTGCCCCATTAAATACAACACAACATGGCATTGATGAGGCGCAATGTAGAGGATTTGGGAGGAACAGCTGTCAGCACCCTTTCTGATACCCTTTAAATTTTAACAAATGTGCACTGTCTTTATGTTACAGTCTGTCACTTGCTGTGTTTATGTGTGAACAGTTCACATTAAGACTTCTCTAACCAGAAAAGTCAGATATTGTGTGCAGTAGTGTTAACAGTCTGGGAACATGAGGTGTCCAGGTGTGCATGTGCGGTAGTGTGCAGTAGTGTGCACCTGTGTGTGATTGTGACAGTCATAGTCTCCTTGCGAAGATATATATTTTTCTCATTTAGCTCTTATTGCCTATATGTAATGCCCTTGTTAAATAATTGGTGCAAAAGCGCAGGCCACGTTTCAAAATCATATATTAGTCTGCCTCAACTACAGCATTCATAAAGTTGCTTAATGGTGATTGCAGCATTGGTCACATGTAGCTCTTTAGCTGTGGTATCATCGTAACTGCAGCTGTTTTTGATGAAGTCCTTACTGCTCTGCCATGCACCATCTCCCCACAGCCCCCAAGCCCTGTTGTTGTAAACATGGATGTCTCATTGCATTATGATAATGAGGGTGCAACAGTAGCTTGGGAAGGCTAAACAGCCTTCCTTTAGTCCTGCTGCTGTCAAAGTGTACCACTGACCTTCATGAAATAGCAATTAGCTTCATCTAGTTCTTCTTGAACAAATTTTCTCACCGAGATCAGACTTTACATTTAAACTGGTGTATAAAGGAGGTTAAAGGCAGAGTTTCATTGACTACTAAACTTTTCATTTTCTGGTTGATTTTTAAAAAAGCTGAATTTATTGGATTTTGATTAGTCTCCCAAATTCACGTTTATATTCCAGTTTAAAATAAAATGCATTCAGTCAATCCATCCTTATTCCCCTGAATCATTTACACCCTATTAAAGCTGCTACATAAAATGATATTCTCACCCATTCACACACCCATGACCTGATTAAAGTATATTTCAAACATTTTGGGCAATAAGTGCTGATTTCTCCATCAACACCCACTCACCAGAGGCTGACTAGCAGCATCACTGGACAGATAAAATCGAATTACAGGGCTGATGGCCGATGTGTGATTGTGTCATTTTCTCTGTGCAGGTTGTAATGAGAAGGGGGAGGGTTAATCCTTCAGATCCTTCATTTCCACTGCTGCGCTAATCCACAGATATTCCGTGAGATTCTGTGAACTACTACACATAGCCAGTAGGTCGAAATGGACTTTAATGGGGGCCAAGGCAGACCGGGAACAAACAATTTAACCGAGGCAGTTTTGTAGTCTTCTCTGGGATTTTTAGGCCCAAGAGAGCAGATATTAAAATATCCCCAGTTTGTTTTGTCGGACACATTCTTTGGAAAGGAAGTCTGCCACATACGCATACATTGCATTGTTAGTACATACACAGTCAGCAGAGTAGACCTCATTTGCATGTGGCTGACATTTGTTACTTTGGTAATTTCATCTGTTAATGGACACAGCCGCAAAGCTGCTCTGAAAGCATATTCCTAAATTGTATGTTGCTAGGCAACGTGGGTTTTGGTGGTAATCGTAGGCAGATTTGCTTCTGGTTAAAGGGTTGGTGCATTGTCAGAGAACGCTGCAAATTTACATGTTGCTACTTTTTTTACTTTAACAAAATGGCTGGTTAATCTAATGGATCCTGAAGAAAGTGCTAATTAATCATATTCACTTCTTTTCATGTGGGATAAATAAAAATAGAAAGTATTATATGCATTTTAGACCCAACAAAATATGATTCAGCCTTCATATTGCCATTTTGTCAGGTAGAAAAATGATATTGTAATAGCAGCATTAACACATTTTGCAATCCTTAGAATCCAATTAGTTATGAGCTAATGATACCACCTGATATTTTGACAACCTCGGACAATTCATTAGTTACAGTAGTGAGCTGCATCCGCATTCTAAACGTACTATTTTGCCTCCGTCCACATCAGTATATTATGCTTCATAAAATACCCTTGAGCAGGACCCCGCCTTTATATGCCTAACTAGGACTCGCTCCCCATCCCCCCACACCCGCATAATCACCGCATATGACACTGTGGGACTTCCACTCTTTAACCTCCATCCTGAAGAGTGTGTTGGCTTCCGTCTGTGGGCTCTGGCCAGGCGACCTGGTGCCAGCTTAGGTCAGTTCTGCTCTGCGTGACATACTAGCCGCAATTTTCTAACTTGCTGAGGCCTAGCGTGATGAAGGGGGAGGAGGGTTATGGCATATTAGTTCTGGAGATAGCAGATTATGTATTAACTGACCCAGGTCAAAACTACAGGCAGTTGTTACACAGTGTGAGCGATTAAGGAGAGAGAGGGGGGGAGACATAGTCCTGCTACAGATGGATGATGATAGCTGTTTGCAGGGTGGGTGAGGGGAAACAGGGCGTTGACAGCTGTCAGTCAACCTTGGACCGGAGATGAGGTTAGCTGTCAGTGTTGCATGCATAGGTTGCATGCCAGACTTTGAGGGTCAAACTTTGGCCTTAATCTGGGCTGACAGTCAAAGGTTGTTTTTGTAATGCTGCTGGTCACTGGTGTGTTCGCTGCACACAGTGGGGTGTGTGTGTGTGTGTGGGGGGGGGGTCAGTGCCAGTCAGGGGGGGGTGCCAGTCAATTAAGTTGAGATGTTTTCAGAGCAACAAGACAGACTCCACTAGAAATCCACTTCCTGCTCCTCCCCCAAATAGAAATTATCTTAAGTATGCCTTTAAATATTTAAAGCCTTCCTTGAAGTAAAAATAATTTCTGTGCATAGACAATATTAAGTGACTGTGACTGAGCAGTTGGAGTACTTCCAAAGCTTGAATAGATATAAAACTATTTTGGTTGAGTCATCCTGCCCAGGGTGTACCCCGCCTTTCGCCCACTGTAAACTGTGATTGTCTCCAGCCCCTCGCGACCCTGTACGCATTGGTCCATTGGTGGACGTGTCACAGTGGGGACTGAACCTGGGTCTCTCACACCAAAGGCATGCGTCTTATCCACTGCTCCATCACCACCCCACAATCAACTCAGATTGTGGGACTATTTTGATTTTTTGGCGTGATTATGGTGTTTTGTTCACAATTGCAATAAACAAAATCATGTTGTATTTGCTACAGCTCTGATTGGTGCAAGGCTCATGGGTATCGTAGTATTAATCGACCGCCATCCACCAAACCAAATTGGTAAGAGTGAAGCTTTTGGCCTTGAAAAACCTATTGTTCAGTTATCCAGGAGACTCCAGTGTTTCTATGTCTCCCGCGTCACAACTCTATGCACCCTGTATGTAGTATCATAGGTACACATGTGCAAACTGCTGTTGGAAGTGGCGACGTCTGTTGTGTCACAGTGCAGAGTTCCTTTCACCATCAGATGTTCTTCTTAATATAAGGCTGTGAATTCCTTTTCCCTCATGAGTGAATAAAGTGTCTGGTGTCTCTCACACTGCCTGGATTAGATCTGGCATTTTCTCTTCATCTTTCTCTTTTTCTTTGTATAAATTGATCCCAATTTCTTTTTTGTCCACCCCCAATCCTTGTGGCTATGACAGAAAACAGAGTAGAGAGTTTGGGGGGGGGGCGTTAGAGGTAATGGGAGAAATATGATTTTAAACAAACGTCATACCCTGCTCAGCACATTCATTCATGACTGTGGTTGTGGGTTACAGAGCCCGTCTGCAGGGAAATGAGGAAAGATGGGAGGCGACTGAACCAAAGAGAGCAGAGCAGAGCAGAATATTGAGCAAGAAAGACCAAGGGACGGAGTTAAATGCACAAAGGGCTGCTTTAGATTTGATAGTGAAAGAATTACTGCTTTAGAAGCAGTGATAGAGTCTTAGAAATGGGCGGAGGAGTGAAAATGGGAGATTACATAAATGGAAACTCTGTCATGCCATTTTGGAGCAAGTGAAAGAGGCAATGATAGAAGGAGGACGTCTCATTTCCTGTTTTTTTGTTATTTCTTTTGTTTTTATAATAAGAAAAAGAAACCTGGACCATCAGGGTCATGGTCATTTTCTATCTGGTTTAGGGCCGCAACGGATGATTCTTTTCAATTTATTTATCAGATTGAATCCATTTATTGTTTGGTCTATGAAATGTCGTAAAATGGAGAAAAAGAATCCTCACATTTTTATCC